GACTTTTGGCAATATTATCCATATTAATTTTGAATTTTAAGTCTGACTTTCCATATATAGTGCCTGTTTTTGCTCATAATTATAATAAAGTATTTTTTATTTTTATTAACTTTTTGTGGCACCCTTTGGAACTAGTAGGCTACTTATTATATGGATAATTTTGTTCATTAGTACTCAGTGCTGAATTTTTGAGTCATTATATGTATTAAGAATTTCCTGTATTGTTTAAAACCAGTTCTGAGTCTAATTTTTTGAGACTCCAGTATTTTCTATTTTTCTTGGCCCTCAACCCCTCTGTTCCTGTGCGTCAAACTTGTCTGGTTACAGATTACGTGACTGTTAGTCCACCCAATGTACAGCGCTATGGAATTTTGCTGGCGCTATATAAATAATAAAATAATAATAATAATAAAAAATAATAATGTACACTGTTAAGCTCAATGTTTATACTGTTCTTAAACAAACATAAACATTTCAAGCCACTCCCAGCGATGCATTTTATGTCCTTAAGTGTTGATGTATCATCTCATTTCTGTAGTGTGATAACGCTTTAATATCATTAATGTATAGTGACAATATGAAAGAACCAAAAAGAAAGAATAATAAAAAAACAAAATCAATATATATATCTTTACCACCCAAAAGAATAATCAGATACTAATACAAAAACACAATTATAACATGAATCGAAACTGACGTATTACATATGCAACATTAGAAAACTGAACAGGTTTAAAAAGGAAACATGGAGTAAAAACAATACTAGTTGGAAGAGCATTATAACTAAATTGCAAATGTGAAAAATATGATGTGTTAATGTCTAAAAACAGCATAGGCTCACACAAGTCAAGTAAAGCATCTTGAATGTGTCATTTTATAGTAATGAAAACATAATGTATAATAAACCAATTCTATGTTTACCATAGGCAAAATCAAAGAAGGTAAAAAATGCAAAACCCTGGCTGGGAAAATAAAGAAAAAAGGTGAAAAAAAAGACTGAAAATAAATTTTTTTTATGTGATGGAGTGCTAGAACTGAAACAATAATGTGTTCAATAGAGATGTCGCGAACTGTCCGCCGGCAAACAATAGCGTGTTCGCGTTGGGCGAACATATCCGATTTCCGGTCCGCCCCCTATACGTCATCATTGAGTAAACTTTGACCCGGAACCTCACAGTCAGCAGACACTTCCTGGGAGGGAGGGTCTGCTGCTGATTGGGTGGAATGTGTCTGCTGGCTGTGAGGTTCCGGGTCAAAGTTTACTCAATGATGACGTATAGGGGACGGACAGGAAATCGGATATGTTCGCCCAACGCGAACACGCTATTGTTTGCCGGCGGACAGTTCGCGACATCTCTATTGAACACATTATTGTTTCAGTTCTAGCACTCCATCACATAAAAAAAATGTATTTTCAGTCTTTTTTTTCACAGTTCGCGAACAGTTCAGCGGACAGTTCGCGACATCTCTAGTGTTCAACTGAGAGGTGTCAGAGGAAATGAGAAGGACAAAAAAAAGAAGGAAAAAAAGGGAAACTGGAGAAAATTAGAGGTCAAAAGGGTGTAACACCATAAGATGCAAAACACTCTGTTAAACAATCCGTTAAAGAGAACAGTGACAGGTTCCACCCGATTCCACACAATTTTCAGCATGAATTCCAGTCAAGGTAATCATTTTGGTGAGATAAAATGTTTAACCACCAGTTTATCAGTCTTGGTATTCTGGAAGGCTGGCATGATTGCCAATCTGTGGCTTTGGATTTTGTCCTGTAAAATAAGTTCTGTCTTTTCTATATAGGAAAGTCTGCATGGACAGCGATCATATAAAAAATATGGCCAGTGAGACAAGTAAAACAATGTCTGATGATGAACTGGAAACAAGGAATAGTAAGTTATTTTTGTATAAATATCTGTCAGTCATTCACTTTACTTGATTGTGACAAATGTCAGGGTGAGGGGGCGGGGTCTGACTGTGAAGCCGAACATACATATTGTGAGAGAGAGATCCTCACTAGCATATTATTACAGCTGTTTTTTTTGTTTTTTTTGCCTTTTAAGGTTCTTCATAAGAATCTAGTGATAATATGCCTGTGACAGAGCTCCTGTCTTCCACGAGGTCTACAGAATCACCTGGTAGTAGCGACGAAGCAGACCTATCAGAGGACAAGAGCTCCATCACAGCACGTCAAACCCAGTCGCCAAAGCTTGACTAGGGTCTCTGAGGACATCTTCTACTGCACCAGATTGCTGTGATTATAGCTCAGGAGACCTTCTCTACTGTAAAGCAGAGACCATATCTTTACTGTAGCTTTTCCCTCACACATTAGATCAGTCTGATAGTAGAGGTTAGAATGAGCTTTATTGTACAGAACACCGCTATTTCTACAGAATAATGTTGTTTCTCCCTGCCAGGGGTCCTCCTTACAATACAGTGTACGGTACCATTGTCCCTCCCCTGTGCCACTCCGTATGGGGACCAGTGGTGTATCCTGGTTTTGTGCTGCCCTAGGCAATTTTCATTGCTTCTATTACACGTCAGAGTAGCTCAGCTCTCAGCAGTTAATTTGTTTAATTTTGTTTATGACTCATTAAAGGACCACTATAGGCACCCAGACCACTTCAGCTTAATGAAGTGGTCTGGGTGCCAGGTCCAGCCAGGATTAATTATTTTTTCTATAAACATAGCAGTTTCAGAGAACATAGCAGAGAAACTGCCATCCTCTAGTGGCTGTCTCATTGACAGCCGCTAGAGGGCTTCCGCGCTTCTCATTGTGAATGCTTTCCTATGGACTGGCTGAATGCGTGCATGGCTCCTGCCGCGCATGCGCATTCAGCCGAAGAGGAGGAGAGGAGGCGGAGAGGAGGAGAGCTTCCCGTCCGGAGAACCTGGAGAAGGAGGTAAGTTTAACCTCTTCCTCCCCCTAGAGCCCGGAGGGGGACCCAGAGGGTGGGGGCACCCTCAGGGCACTATAGTGCCAGCACTATAGTGCCAGGAAAACGAGTATGTTTTCCTGGCACTATAGTGGTCCTTTAAGCTGGATGCTTAACTTGTCTTGTAACCGTTATGAAGTCTGAGTAATCCAATTTCCATATAACAGGCCTAGTGCTGACTAGATTTGCTTATGCCACATGTTGTGTTTAAATTTTGTGTTATAAGCAATCAATATTCACCTATTCTAATCTTTGTTATTTCCATAGGCGTGCGCATGGGGTGCACACCCTAATCCCCGTGGCATGCCTATGGTTTGAGTCCTGCAGGAACAGCGTTCCTGCACTTTTTTTGAGCAGGAACGCTGTTCCTGCAGGCACTCAGCGCCCCCTGTTTCACCTCTTGCCCCTGTCATGGGGGGGCAAGAGGTGATGGATCCCCCCCCCGCTCTCCAGCTGAGCCACGGCGAGGGAGCTCTCTGCTGTCTGCTCTCTGCTCCCTCTCGCCGCGCGCTGATGCCGGGAGTCGAAATATGACGTTATATTCCGGCTCCCAGCTACAGCAGACAGCCCGCGCGGCGAGAGGGAGCAGAGAGCAGACAGCAGAGAGCTCCCTCGCCGCGGCTCAGCTGGAGAGAGGCGCCCGCCCCACTGGACCCCAGGGAAAAGTCCACGCCAGCACTCCAGGTAGGAGGCTGGGTGGACATTTTTTTTAAAATTAAAATGTAATAATTTGTTCTTATGTGTGAGTGTGTGTGTGTCTATGTGTGAGTGTGTGTGTCTGTGTGTGAGTGTGTGTCTGTGAATGTGTGTGAGTGTGTCTGTGAGTGTATGTATGTGTGTGTGTCAGTGAGTGTGTCTGTGTGTGTGTCTGTGTGAGTGTGTGTCTGTGAATGTGTGTGTGTGTCTGTGTGTGGAGTGTGTGTGTGTGTGTGTCTGTGAGTGTGTGTGAGTGTATGTGTGTGTTCGTGTGAGTGTGTGTGTGTGTCTGTGAGTGTATGTATGTATGTGTGAAAGTGTGTCAAAGTGAGTGAGTGTGTCTGTGAATGTGTGTCTGTGTGTAGGTGTGTGTGTCTGTGAATGTGTGTGTGTGTCTGTGAGTGTATGTGTGTGTCTGTGTGAGTGTGTCTGTGAATGTGTGTGTGTCTGTGAGTGTATGTATGTGTGTGAGTGTGTCAGTGAGTGAGTGTGTGTCTGTGAATGTGTGTCTGTGTGTGTATGTCTGTGTGAGTGTGTGTCTGTGAATGTGTGTGTGTGTCTGAGTGTCTGTGTGTGTCTGTGTAAGTGTGTGTGTGTGTGTGAGTGTGTGTCTGTGAATGTGTGTGTGTGTGTCTGTGAGTGTATCTATGTATGTGTGTGTGTGAGTGTGTCAGTGAGTGTGCGTGTGTCTGTGAGTGTGTGTCTGTGAATGTGTGTGTCTGTGTGAGTGTGTGTGTGTGTCTGTGAGTGTATGTATGTGTGTGTGTCTGTGAGTGTGTGTGTGTACGCATATATATATATATACACACACACACACACACACACACACAGAGAGCCGGCGCTATTTGAATGCCGGCTCTGCTCTAAGCTTCCATGGGCCAGCGGGGAGACCAAAGATCTACCTCACCGGCCCACAGCAGCATGGAGGGAGGCAGGAGAGGACCCAGGGAGCTCTAGACAGAAGCTCCGCCAGGTTCCTCTCGCAATATCTGAGTGTTGCTGCAGGCTAGAGTTCACTCTCCACTGGACCACCAGGGATGGCACATGGCAGCAAGGATTTACTAATCTGCCAAATCCCTCCAAACATACAGCACACACACATACAGCACCTACACACATACAGCTCACACACACACAGTACACTAACTGCACCCTCACAAACACACACAGCACCTTTAAAAAAACCACAACACCCTCACACACACACACACACACAAACAGCACCCTCACAAATACATGACACTCACACAAACAGCACCCTCACAGGACAAACATACACACACAAACACCCTCACACACAAACAGCACAATCACAAACACACACACACACACACAAACACCCTCACACACATCACACTAACAGCACACACAGCAGTGTATGTGTGTGTGTGTGTGTATGTATCTATCTATATATATACATATATATATATATATATATATGTATGTATATATATAGATAGATACATTTTGATAGATACATACACACACACACACACACGGCGTGTGTTTGTGCTTTAGTTTGCACACCCTAATGCAATAGGCTGCGCACGCCTATGGTTATTTCAAAATGTGCAGCCTACTAAGTGTATTTTACTCTGACAGATTGATTACACTAACTCTTGACTGCATTGCTAAGGCCTGTGAAAATATTAGAATTGCTTACAATTCACGTTTCAATTTGTTTTTTGTGCTCTTAGCAATCGACAACCATCTATTTTCTTCTTATTAGTAATACAAAATACTCAGTGTATGATATTATGCTAGCATGATCGATCACATGACCAAACATGCTATTTTCTGTTATTGAATATGATTATACTTTTTCTTTTCTATCCTCAAACATTATTTTAAACTCATACATATGTTTCAACTGGTTATTTCTGTCTTTACTGGATATTTCTGTCTTGGAAGTTTACGATATCCTAAACCAGTCAAAAATGAAGATTTAAAAAAACAAAACAAAAAGAAAACCCGGGTGAGGCCAAATCATTAGCAATCATATAGATTGCATATTTTGTTCACTCACACTCAGTGCAGATGGTTTTGTTCACTTTTGAAAGTGGCACTTGGACTATACAGAGATTACTTCAGCAGTACTCTCTGCATGGTCCTCTAGTCTAGACTGAAGACTGGCCAGACAGGCTGTCAGTCAACCTGGCTTACATGCTTGATACCACGCTGACATGCCCGCTGAGGGCCTGCCTACCCTTCCTCATACACCAAACACATATTTAATCAACAAACAGATACAACAGACCCATTAAATACACTGACATATATATTTTACATTTCATACACTTTAAAACTACATATGCATTGTACACATTAAGGGTTATTCACTAAACACAGATATGACCGAATTACAATTACAATTACAATTACAACACGGCCAGAATTCAGCCAGCCCTAGATAATATGCAGCAAACACGCAGCATTCAGTGTCCAGATTAAAATCAGTGCTTTCACATCCCAATACTATACAAAGTAAATTATTTTAAATATTCACAAAGAAACGGTTTTAATAAAACTGGGGAGCAGAGACAGCACAGCTTCCTATTCACACAGCCAGCCGCCCACCCTGCCCGACCACCCAGCATGCCGCCTGCTTACACAATCCCCTGGTTGATCGCCAACTGGATCCCACAGGTAGCAATAATGTGTGAGTCAGTCTGTCAGTGTGAGTGTATTGGTCTATCATGCTGTGTGTGTCTGTCTTGGTGTGTCTATGTGTGTGTGTCTGTCTATCTATGTCATGGTGTGTGTCTGTCATGGTATGTGTGTCATGGTATGTGTGTGTGTCATGGTATATGTGTGTGTCATGGTGTGTGTGTGTGTCTGTCATGGTATATGTGTCTGTCATGATGTATGTGTGTGTCTGTGTGTGTGTTTAGGTAACCAGACCCCTTCCATTGGCAAGGGAATTGCGTTTTTACTCACCTTTTTTTTCCCCATTGCGTGCTGTTTTCCCCTTGACTATCCCTGCCTCAAGCTTGATGATCTCAGCCAATCCAGTGTTTTTGGAATGGCTGCTAAACGCTACACGTGGTTTAAAAGCAGCAAACGATCAGAGTATTCTCTGTGCCTTTTACCCCTCCAATAGAGACCTTCCTGATACTCTCCACTGCCGGCTGTGGAATCAAGTAAGTGCACTCAGATCATTCTGGGGGCGTGGCCACAGCTGCGTGCGTATGCACTCTGGTGGAGAGTGCAGGGAAACACCACCCACATAAAACAAGCATAATTTGCGGAGTATTTAGACAGACATCTCGCGAGGTGATGAGCGCGGACTCATAATTTGCGGAGAACAGATATCTGGAATTTTCTCAGCTGGTCATCATGCTCCCATGTCCTATTTGGGACATTTTTGAAGCCGGCCAATGTAATTTACCCCCATCAAACCATATATTTCTGAAAAGTAGACACCCTAGGGTATTTCAAATGGTGGTATTTCAACACTTTCCATGCACTAATTCTACCACCAGTCTTTGTCAAATTTCTGTGTAGTTTTTTTTTGTGTTATTTTTCTCTCGCATTGTTCTTTAGGCATGGATTCTAAGTTCCTGTTATGTGTTACTGACAGAGAACACCCCAATATGTATTCAGCAACATCTCCCAAGTACAGTGATACCATCCATGTATAGATGTATCGGGTTCTCTGGAGGCTAAAAGACCTTATTTGGAGGGTTTTCATTCCAGTTTTCCAACTTGGAATTTTCTCAGCTGGTCATCATGCACCCATGTCCTATTTGGGACATTTTTGAAGCCGGCCAATGTAATTTACCCCCATCAAACCATATATTTTTTAAAAGTAGACACTCTAGGGAATTTCAAATGGTGGTATGTTAACCCTTTCCATGCACTAACTTTTGGATAGTTGTTTTTTTTGTGTTATTTTTCTCTCACATTGTACTTTAGGCATGGATTTTTAGTTCCTGTTATGTGTTACTGACAAAGAAACCCCCAATATGTGTTCAGCAACATCTCCTGGGTACAACAGTGCCCCCAATGTACAGGTTTTATGGGCTTTTGCAAACATACAGGGGTCAAATGTAGGGCTTTGAACAGTAGACAGATTGGTTTGCTGGGCCTATGTTGCCTTTGAGACCATATAGAAGCCCAGGAATTAAAATTAACCCCATCATGGCATACCATTTGTAAAAGTAGACAATCCAAGGTATTCAAAATGGGGTATGTTCAGTCTTTTGTAGTAGCCACTTAGTCACAAACGCTGGCGAAAATTAGCATTTTTCTTTGTTTTTTGCATTTTTTTTTTTACACATAAACTGTACTTTTACTGGTGATTTCAACTTCGGAATACATTTTACTGATTTAGAACACTCATATTTGTGTTCAACGAAGTCTCCCGAGTATAACAATACCCCCATGTACTGGTTTTATGGTGTTTTGGGAAGCTACGTCAATAAAGGGCTTACCCGATCTAGTTTGCCAGATTGGTTTGCTGGACCTTTGTTGCCTTTTAAGACCATATGGTAGCCCGGGAATGTGAAATAACCCCATCATGGCATACCATTTTCAAATGTAGACAACCCGGGGTATTCAAAATGGGGTATGTCCAGTCTTTTGTAGTAGCCACTTAGGAACAAACGCTGGCCAAAGTTAGCATTTTTCTTTGTTTTTTGCTTTTTTTTTTACACATAAGCTTTGTAGGCCACGACAGCACTTCCAAGCAGAGAAATAGGTTTAAGAATCATAGTCGTGGCATTCGGTTAGACAGCACATTTTTGTATTGATAAACTGTACTTTTACTGGTGATTTCAACGTCGGAATACATTTTACTGATTTAGAACACTCATATTTGTGTTCAATGAAGTCTCCCGAGTATAACAATACCCCCATGTACTGGTTTTATGGTGTTTTAGAAAGTTACAGGGCCAATATAGCGCTTGACCGATCTAGTTTGCCAGATTGGTTTGCTGGACCTTTGTTGCCTTTTGAGACCATATGGTAGCCCAGGAAAGTGAAATAACCCCATCATGGCATACCATTTTCAAATGTAGACAACCCAGGGTTTTCCAAATGGGTTATTTCCAGTCTTTTTTGCAGCCACTTAGTCACAAACGCTGGCCAAAGTTAAATACAAGAAAAAGTTAAAAAAGGTTAGCGCTAATAATAAAAGGAATAAGAAGGCAGCAGCCTTATAGTGGGCCACCCTCTAACCCTCTACAGTGAAAGTATACAAAAAAACAAGGAAAAGGCTGCGCCAAATAGAATAATAAAAAGTAATAAAAGAAAGTCCCAGTTTAAAATTATAATATGAAAGAGTTCCAATATTACAAGTTGTCCAAACTGGTATGGTGTCTTCTTTGTTAGTAGTTGTCCGTCTCACGATATGAAAGACACAATGGGAAAAAAACAGTCGTGCAGATAGTATAAATAAGTGGTAGTGAATTTAAAATATAAATTGTGCACTCACATTTCCATGAGCTAGGACTAGCTCTAGTATGATGGGCATACAGCGGATAACCCTCCGCTTATGGGGGTGCTTGTCCTCCTGGGGAGTGCCGATGTCCAATTCTCAGAAAGAGAGAAAAACAGCAAATAGTGCTCTCTGATGAGGTAGTTGGTAGAAAGAGTTAAAAATAAATAAAATATACTCACAAGTAGAGTGCAGTCCTTTCTGCACTCTATTTTCGCATGGGTGGTATAATCCCCACCTTAGGATATGCCAGGAACAGTGGAATGAAGATAAAATAGTAAAAAGGATAAATAATATAAAGTAATTTATTTAATATAGACTATAGAACCAATAACGCGTTTCGCCTGAAAGGCTTTATCAAATTGGGATAAGACTATTACCTGGCACATAAGGAGTATATATAACTTATGCATCAATTCAAAATTGGCGCCAAAATTGAGCACCAATTAGGGCTATACAAATTGCAAATACAACATATACAATCAAAAGTTTAAAAAAAATGTACATCAGAAATATATTAAATGTTACAATAATATTCATATACTTGTAATATAAAAACGAGCGTTTTTTTATATTATATAAACCTAAAAAGAATAGATCGCGTGCGTCACGTGACCCGCTAAGCACCATGGGATTTGTAGTGCATGGGTCACGTGACCGCAAGTAATAGGCAGGTTATAAGCTGTCCGTGCGGCCAATGCAGGGAGAGACGGCACGCACGGGCAGCAGGGTGGGATCGAGCTGTGTCACGTGACCCGCGACGTAACATAGCTCCAATACCCGCGGGTCACGTGACCGAAGCCGTGGGAATTATGGGATTGGTAGTATTAGGCTTATATATATAAAACACATAAAATACAATACTTAAGAGATAAATACAGTTTAAAAGTAATATGTACAAGATATATAATAGATCTGCCTCAATGATAAAAAAGAAAAAGGACATAGGTACAGCCAAAATAAAATGAATTGCAAGAATAAATAAATCAATAATAAAAAAAGGAGCAGCTGGTTTGAATTGATAGGTCACTGTAATAGAACCATATTTATAAAAGACAAATAAAT